AGAAAGAAAGAAAGAAAGAAAGAAAGAAAGAAAGAAAGAAAGAAAGAAAGAAAGAAAGAAAGAAAGAAAGAAAGAAAGAAAGAAAGAAAGAAAGAAAGAAAGAAAGAAAGAAAGAAAGAAAGACCACTGCAGATGGTGACAGCAGCCATGGAATTAAAAGACGCCTGCTTCTTGGGAGGAAAGCAATGACAAACCTAGGCTTTTGGTTGGACTTGGTTCTTCACAGTGAAATCCACCATTGTACGTGAGATCCCAAAAGTCTTTGAAATGCACATAGGAATGAGAAAAATCATCCCTTCCTTGTTCTGCTGAAGTACGGTATTCCTTCGGTGGATACCATCCCTAGTTCTTAAAAATAAGCAAGGCACACCGTAACAATAATCCATTAATCTCTTATAACCTTTGGTCTAGATGGGCAGGGTAGAAGTCCAATAAAATAAATAAAAATAATCATTTCTTGAGCTGAAGTTTTAAAAGAACTTCAGTGCTTTGGGTATACTTAATTTAGAGATTGTTTCCTACATTATTTTTTTCTCTCGACTAACAGAGCTTTTGGTGCCTTCTAGATTTTGGTGTCCTGAGGCACGGCCCCAGTTGTTCTGCCCTACTTACAGCCTTGCCAGTCATGCATCGGGCCATCTAATCAAGTGAACGATTTGGGGAAAGCTTGGCATGTGACAAGCAGCCCAGAAAACAAATACCTTCCCTCGCACAATAGAATTCTGGCCTGGGTATTTCATCCCTCACTTACCTTTGACATGCCAGGTGAGGCTGAGGGAGTGGAAATTCAAAATACTGTATCTGAAAGGCCAAATCATATCAATTGCTTTTCCCTAACCTGTTATTTTGAAAGGAATTTTGTCACACAAACGTTGGCTACAAATTCCCTTCAATACATTTTATTTTGTAAGCCGCCCCGAGTAGACATGGTCTAGAGGGGCGGAGTAAAAATCAAATAAATAAATAAACAAATAACATAAATAAATGTTGCCATAAATGTCACCTTGCATTTTCACATTTGCAGGATAATAATCAAGAAAGCAGGTTTGCATAAGACTTAAAGAGTGGCATGAAGATACTGGAGAACCTGTCCCACTGTTTCACTCATAGATCACTTTTCTTTACAGTATTTGTTTTCAAACGGGAAAACCAGCAGTAGGAGCAGCTCAAGAGGACATACCTGGCTGGTCTTAGCTGTTTTTGTGATTCCTATCTTAATATGGCCATATATGAGTTGAAATCCAGCAGCATAATATACGCCACTAAAAAATGGTGATGCCACAAGCTGCGTCAATTTTTCATATTATTTCTTATTTCAGCACTCCCTCCCCAAGGTCCTGAGGCTCCCGTGAAATCGCTTTAGAAAGTGGGAAGCTATTCGGAGCTGAGGAACAGGAGGGGGAAGCCTTTAATTACCATAAATAGCCACTGCAAGATGATTTTACTGGTGCTAGTCGTGGCAGCGATTTCTTTGGGAAACCAAAGGTTCGCCCACATCCTAAGGCCCTCGATCGTTCCTCCTGACGAAAACGGTCCCAAATCAGCCTCAGGATCGTTGCAGTAACATTCAGGATCATGCTGTGCCCAAAGCCACTCAGTTCCACCGCAACCTTTACGCTTTGTTGGAAGGATTTCCAAAGCAGACACGTGAAAGGCACGGAAACGTGGACAGCACGTTTTTATGCGGCTCGTCTTTTGTGGCGTGTGTGCCACTGACAGTTCACACTCAGAGTCTGTATTCAATATTTTTTTTTAATCGCTGCTTTCTCTGGTCTTTGCAAAGATATTTGAAAAAGCAATGTTATTTGCTATATTAACCCACTAGATGGCAGTGAAAGCCCACGTTTTAAGGTATTCCGCTTCATGAAATCAATTTGTTACGGCTGGAAAATTTATTCCTCACCCGCCGAAGTCTGGCTTGAAAAGGACGAAGTGCTGTGCAGACCATGTGTAAGAGAGGGGAGGAAAGGCTCGTGCTGTAAAATGCATGATAGATGCGGGATACGTCCTGCTTAGATACAGAATCATTAATTTATGTGTTTTTTAAAAAGACTGGAAGAGGATGTACAGCCAGAATTGTAAACTTTCTTTTAAATGAAGCAAAGTGATGAATATCAAACCGGCCTCGACCGAATAACATGTCCCACTGGCCCCAAACGGCAGCAGCCCCTTGCAAAGTTTGCTTCCGGCCCTTTTGGAAGACCTGCTTGGACTCTTGACACCGAGGGAATCGCTCAGCATTTTTATTCAGAAGCAAAACGCACCAGATTCAGTGGGGCTTAGGAGTAAAACCTTATATGTACTCGACACATAGACACACAACCGTAAGCATACTTTCTTCAACGCTCACACGATCACTTAAATCCCAGGATAGTTGTCGTCGAGCATTATTCGGGGGGGGGGGAAGCGAGCGGGAAGAAAGAAAAAAAAACATTGCACAGCAGTGCGGATATCTCGAGTTCAGAGACAGATTTCATGTCATTTCATTGGTGCGATCAGCGGGTCTCTTTAAAAAACGCAACTTGCAAGTTGTGGCGCGGGACAGGAAGAAGGTGCGCCCGGCGCGGCGTGTCATATGACCCAGGAAAGATGGCTGAAGAAGCCGGAGGGAGTTCCCTGCCGCCTGCGACCGCGGAGCAAAAAGAGGACTTCGAAGTCATTGACCGTACCCAGGTCCCTGGCACGGCGGAGCTGAGAAGCGAGGGCAAAGAGAGGGGGGCCGAGGACTCCGGGTGGTCTTCCCCCATCTTCTCGCTGGCCAAGAAAGCGTCGGAGAACTTAGCCGCCAGCTATGGCAGTGCGCTGAAGTCTGCAGCTTTGGTAGGACTCATGCCCAAAACCGTCAGCAATGACAGCACTGCAGGACAAAGTATGCCCGTGTTTATTGCTTGTACTGTGTAATCATGATGTGGGGTAGAAATCCGCCACTGGCGTGTCGTTATCGGCAAGGCGATATGTGGGTTGATCGGTACACCTGGAAGGAAAACTTTCAAAGTGCGACTTGCGGTTCCTGCTGGAAAAGTTAGCCCTGGCATGAACAGGCCTAGGTGGCTGGATAGCTCAGTGAGTTGGGTACCCAGCGGTGGAAAAAGATTTTGATTCCGGGGGGGGGGGGCTTTGTCGGGAAAAGGCCAAAATGTGTCGCTTTGGGCACATCCCCTGAACTGGTGAATGGGGAAGGGACTGGTGAACTATGTACATCTGACTACTCAGTGCCTAAACAGCCTTAAAAGGGGTCACTATAAGGTCAGAATCAACTTGATGGCATACAATTATTATCACTTTATGAACATGTCTTAAATGACAAATGCTGAATCTCAGAAGCTTGCTTGCTTTGTGAACATGTCTAAAATGACACGTGCTGAATCTCAGAAGCTTGCTTGCTTTGTACAAGTTGTCTTTTCTTCATCTTTGGGAGCAGTTCCCCAAAATTCCAAGCTGGAGGCTTGGCAGGGGGTACCCCTAATAAAGAAAAAAAAAGGCCCATGCTTGAAATGATGTTAATGAGATGAGGGATAGAAAATAAAGAATTGAACTCTATGAAACTTCAAGCCAGAATAAATTTGGGAGTAGAGTAGTCTAGTTATACTGGTTCTTGTAAAAGCATTCCTGTGATGTTGATGATTGGAGAAGCAAGAGGTTGTGTTGTCTGCATGTGAGGGAGTCTGCCGTTAAAAAGTCAGACCGCATTTTAATTTCTTCCACCTCTGGGCTTGACTAGTCTTCTTTTGCTTATACAGTAATTAATTTCTGGAGAATTAAGTTGCTACACAAGTGTATTTCTTCTGTTTCTGAGTTGACATTGAATTATTCTGGCAAAAGACAGTTTAAAAAGGTAGAAATCTGTGATGAAGTTTTTTGCCCTAAAAATAGGCAACTACTTAGACAACATTTAAAGTTCATCAAATTCCTAATAATGCTAATGAATGTAAACATACTTTTGTACGTGAGCTTAGATGAAAAATCTTTAGTATGTGGGGTGGCCAAAGATGCATTAACAGAAGTATAGTCTCCAAATCCCAGGAGGTACTAGTTCCCCTCTATTTGGCACTGGTTAAACCTCATCTTAGGGGACATGATGGCGCTGCGGGTTAAACCACAGAAGCCTCTGTGCTGCAAGGTCAGAAGACCAGAAGTTGTAAGAGCGAATCCACGCAACAGAGTGAGCTCTGTTACCTTCCCACCGTGGTGGTCCCTATTTATCTACTTGCATTTACATGCTTTCGAACTGCTAGGTTGGCAGGAACTGGGACAAGCAACGGGAGCTCACTCCGTTGTGTGGATTCAATCTTATGACTGCTTGTCTTCTGACCTTGCAGCACAGAGGCTTTTGCGGTTTAACCTGCAGCACCGCCACATCCCACCAAACAAGGATGATTAGGGGCTGGAAATCAAGATCTGTTAGGAAAGACTGAAAGAACTGGGCATGTTTAGCCTTGAGAGTAGAAGACTGAGGGGAGATAGGATAGCATTTTTCAAATACTTGAAAGGCTGTCATACAGAGGAGGGACAGAATCTGTTCTCAGTCATCCCAGAGTGCAGGCAATGCAACAATGGGCCCAAGTTAAAGGGAAGCCATATTTTGGTAGAATATCAGGAAAGATGTCCTGTTAGAGCAGTATGACAATGGAACCAATTATCTCAAGAGATGGTGAGTGCTCCAACACTGGAAGCGTTTAACAAAAATTTAGACAACCACCTGGAAGATAGCCTTTGATTTTTATTAGTGCACTGAGTGGGGGTTGTTGGACTCGATGGTCTTTTAGGCCCCTTCCAACTTCACGATTCTATGATTCTATGAAATATATTTTTCCACCTGAGGCAAAGAATAAAATGATGTCCTTCACCACTACTGGTATTCCATGTGCAAAAAGCAGCTGGATTGGCAGTTGATCTTTCCTTGTATGCTAGCAACATAATAATTTGCTCTGCCTCAGCAGAGGGTGGTGAACTAATTTACAGGGCACAGGTCAAGTTAGGTGGTACGCAGAACTATGTTCTCTAAAAGAATGGAAAGGCCAAGAAATTCAGGAGGAACAGTTGGAGGCCATGCATCCAGGGATGTGGCTTCATTCTGCCTAGTAAAAACTCAAACATCCATTATGAAAGGGAAAAAAATAGAACACAAAGGATTAGACTCAAATAGATATGTCTACATTATTTCTGGCTGGAATAGGGTGTGCTCACTTCAGCAGGCATGCAGTCCTTACAATACACACTAGATCAGAGGAGTTCTGGAAGTAAAATGGGTGGTATGTTCCACATGCAGAAGTTGTTTCAAAATTTCCACACGATATGGTGCTCCCCCTACCCCACTTCATGTGATACAGTATTCTTCTTCAGACTTACCACTAATTTACCAAGACATGTACAGTATGCATGTCTGAAACTGAGGGTGAGGGGAAAAGAGGGAAAATGTGCTAGTATGAAGATTGCCCTTAGATGAGTGCACAAAGAATGTGTCTATCATCCAGTGGGAGTGACTTTCAAAATGTGCTAAATCTTGGCTGTAATATTTTTTCAGTTCCTGTGAAGGTCTAGTAGCTAAATATGTAGTATGATGAAGTGATAACCCTGAAACTCAAAATGTTTTTCAGGTAAACCATTGAGTCTGTGATAGAATGTATCAAGGAAATCAAGGAAATTTAAAATAAATATATACAAATACATGAGAATCTGTGAACAAACCCAGACCTACTGGGATCTATCACACAGTTACTAAGCTGCCACCAACCATTCCCTATAATAAGTCACACAGACCAGGGATGGATTTTTAAACAACAAAAGAATAAGGTTTATTTTAAATACAAACAGGGTAAATAAAACAATCAGGTGAATAAAATAAAGTAACGTGGCTTATTCTCACACACACAAGCATACAGTTTGGTTCACCTAGAACCTTTAACTTAAAGCACAGACCCTGAACCCATCAGTTCTGGCTAACCAACAGACCCCTGAACCTTTCAGGCTGGTACTCCGACACACAGTAGTACCCTGTCAGACACACAGACTCCCACAACAGCTTCTTCTTCCCCAGCTGCTGCTCCGCCCCAACCCAGTGTCTCACAGTCTGTCTCAGCATCCCCTCTTCACCACACAGGCATCACATATTTATACAGTACAGCCCCTCCTCCTGATGTCCCGCCTTCCACTCCCCATAGGATGGAACTTTCCCTCCAAACCCATGACAGACAGGTAACATCAGTGCTGTTATGTAACACCTCCCCTCTTTAAAAGTTGTTTTGTAGGGGGAAAGCTAAAAGTGCTTTTCACCAAAAAAACAACCTGCATAAAATACACAACAACATTTATACATACCAGATAATACACTGGGTTTACCCCACGTTTCATAAAGTTACTCTCAGTCACATTTTAGCAGCAGTTCTCTGGAATTAAATATGCTTATAAATAAAAGCTGTTATTGTGCATTTCAGGATGTGGTCCTACATTCACTTAGAAATTTTCATAATACCAATCTAAATTGTTTTGTTCTCACTACCAGCAAAAATGATTAAAGTGAGGCTGTCATGAGAACAGAGGACTCATTGGAAAAGACAGAATGCTAAGAAAAGTAGAAGGCAATATGAAAAGAGAAAGGTCTAACACTAGCTGGATTAGTTCGATAAAAGAAGCCATTAGTCTGCAAGATCTAAGCACTCCTAATGATAGGACTTTTCAGAGGTTATTAACTTATAGTGTTGCTATTAAATCAGAATCCAGTCGATGGCACATTACACAAAAACAAACTGTTTGCACTTTCAGATGCAACCCTATTCTCATTTTGGAGTCATCTACATTGAACTCAGAAAGGACTAATTTCTCAATAAAAGTATAGAATTAATTACTGTAATTTGGGAGTTAGGGTTGTAATTTTTCTTCCTACCAAAGCCCTTTATGTACGCTCCAAATGGTTGGAAGCCCCTCTGGAGCATTTTTAGGTGGCACAGGAGAGAGGAGGGGAAAAGAGAGAGTCCGATTAGGCTATTGGAAGAAAGTTAGCACAGGGCTGGATTTCCTCCGGTGTTACTCTTTATCAGTGTTAGTTTCTCAGACTGTGGGGTTGCCAGTTTGATACACAGTCCTGTACAAAATAGTACAGTACTGCTAAATACTGAAATCTGGAAGTTTTAAATGAAATACAAATGAAATAGATCAACTGTTTTAAGATATTCTTCATTCAAACTTCCAATGTTGGTGTTTTTCCACTAAAACCCTGTCTGTTGTGCATTTTAATTGCAAGTGCCTTTCCATCCTGTACAGCACTCCTGTCTTATATGGAAGTAAGCCCCAAACACCACTGAACTGAGTGCAACCTGTTTTTGAATAGACATGCATGCGACTCAGTGCAGTGTATTTCTGAATAGATATGCACCGTCAAATTTCCTGCACATTGCTTTTCTGGCTAGGCTGCTACAATTCTGTAGCTCAGGCCTCAACCTCCTTTACTTTCAAAACTAAACATGCAGTGTATTATCCCTATCAGAATAACAAGTTAAAACATACAGAAATCATGTAAGTTCAGTATGTCTTCTGCAGTAAGACAGTAAAATAGATTTGTAAGTGGTATTGGCATATTGCTGACTTCCTGCCTATTGGAAAATCTAAACGAATGACAAAGTACCTTGGTAACAATGTGCACTGCATGTAAGCCTCCTATGTGCTGCAAGGTATTTATTGATTGGATTTATAGCCCCGTCTTTCTCCCAAAACTGGGATTTAGAATGGCTTTTTAAAAGATTAACTGAGGAGGTAAAGGTAAGTTGTAATACTGAAACACAGTTGAATTCAATGTTATTTTAAAACACATCACTAAAAAGTACAGCTACCACCTGTTATAAAGCGATTTTGCAAGCAAGTGAAAAGTCTCTT